TGCAGGAATAGATTTAGGGATATATAAAGGCGGCTATTGCTTTGTAGTGGTTAGTTAAAGTTTGACTGTGATACGATTTAAATAGTGATTATTGCGAGTTGTAAGAGTTTAATTGTTGAGTTAGTTATTAAAGTAATTAGTGTCAGAGTGTATTGTTAAATGGAATAAATTATTGCTGTGTTAATTGGACTTTGATTTTTGGAATAAACGAAACGAACAACGAACCCAAGATTTCTGTCAGGCAACCCAAAGCCGTGACAGTATGTATTATATAATATTATAATTTTATAATAAATATGAACAAGTGTTTTAAATTCAGCTACGATTTGAAGTATATTCAGTTTCAATAATACCATAATAAATATTAAAGTAACTCTACTATATATTCGAAAACAACCTCTTTATTGACGCTCACGATAAGTTTATCTCGAATTCAACTTGATGTGGGTTAAATAGGGTGTACATAAAAGGATTAAGTTGACTATGTTATATTTAATCAGAATATAGATTTTTTTGTGTGTAGTTTCTTTACTCTTTGGTACATTTTTAGTTCTAAAGTTGCAGCCGATTATAAATTGCTTGATTGTCCGTGAAAACTCGTGAAAAGTACACTTCTGCATTGTGTGCTAAAATGTCACAGGCATATAATGACACTTCCATGTTCCTCCTCATAACCCCTAGTGTCGATTATGAATTTCATTTATTAGAATACCTAGAGACCTACACCGCGTTTATTTATCTACAGTCTATTTTTTCCCAAGATAGATTTTGACATTGTCAACTTTGAAACATAAACAATGCCGCTTATTGGTTGAAAGATGCCATTTGCACGACATGCATTTTAAAACTGATGTCAGCCTGCAGGGACACCTCATTTTGCGACCAATTAGGGCCAAGCGGTATTGTTTATGTTTCAAAGTTGACAATGTCAAAATTTATCTTGGGAAAAAATAGACTGTACTTTTCCCGTTAATCGTAGGTACCTGATTATTTTTAATTAATTTAAACCTTAGAGCAGGTTTGGCGTTTGCTATTTGTACCAACTGCACAAAAGCTTTTCGCGAGAGATTTTTAATCGATATGGGTTGACATCTGGTCCGGGGGCCTTTTTGCTCGAGATCCGGTGGATAATTCGAGTCATCTAGCCGGATGTGATAAGTAGATCAGCGAACACGAGCTGGGGAATGGGATATTTCCTAATAGAATAGAATGTGTTCCCCTTATACCTTCTAACTCACTCCCATAACAACGATAACCGCCGAAGGTTGCCGTTGGTCTTCACAGCTAACAACTTGAAATTGATTGAAAGACTTGACCGACAAGATAGAAATGAAACAGGTCTCGGTACCTCAGTTGGTAGAGGGTAGAGCGTTGCACTGGATATGCGAGGGTCCTGGGTTCAAGTCGAGGCAAGATAATGTTTCATCAATTTTCATTAAAATTTCTGCATGCCATTAAAGTCCAACACACTGTGAATTATATCACAGACGATAAAACGTAAAAATTTTAGAGATTTTTTTAAATTCTAATTTGTTTTTGTATAAAACTTATGTCCGTATAACCCAACGTTTCCCAGATGGATGAGAACAATTTGTTCATTAATTCATTCGTTCGGTATAGGGACATGTCTAACAAGAAGAGATTTGCTGAAATAAGATATAATATAAACCTGTCGCCAGCGTTTAGACCATGCACCGCTATAGTATTTTTTTGAAAGGTTTTATTTTTGAATTAATTTTCAATATCTTCGCGCTAAATACGATGGATTCTCTTGCCATTTTCACTTGTCTGGTACTTTATGCCCTTAATTTTGTAGCGATGAAAGAAATTGTGCTTTTTGTCGCTCAGAAACTTAGTTTCAAAGCCTTGACATGCAAAAATTTCCCGAGAGAATATTGAAAAGAAAATTGAGAGTCAAACTTTGTCTTGGAAAAACTTCCGGGAAACTTATGTTTTAAATTGGTTTGTGTGCTCCAACAGTCGCGCTCAAATCGAAAAAGATTTCTAAATATGTAGGTATAATGCTACGAGAAAAATTGTGGCAACAAAATTCAAGTTTAAACTTTATTGCAGCCATATAGGTAGGTACGACAAAAATGATGCAAATTTAGTTGGCACCCTCTAAAATCTGTTTATGTCGGATATCGCAGAAGTCTTTATGACTTAAAATTTGTCAGCGAAACGCGTTGTTTAGGAGAACTTTTTTATGTTTTTTGTTCAAAAGTTCAAATTAATGTTTTGCAGTGAACACTTTATGATCAAGACTTATTCAACTCTTCATACCAAAAACAAAACTTGAAGTTGAGCTTTATTTTCATTAAATCCACCTTTTTGATCCTCCCATTTCAAAGCTCTCATCTAAGACAATTAAATAAAAGCCTGTAAAAAAAGAGAGTTGCATAATTTTCCAATTATCGAATTATCAGTAAAGCAAACATTAGTTCATTACATTACAAACTCACCTCAAACATCATAGAGATTATTCGGAGAGAGCAAAAACACCGAAACATACAAAACAAACATACAGACAGCAACAGAGCAACATCAAACACGGACATGTCGGGCCACATTGCCACATTCAGCCACAACATTTACATTGAACATTTAAAATTATTTCAGGCGTCTACGGCTTACTAAAATTACAATGTTTAAGTTCAAACTTCAACTGATTTTCTGCTTTATTTATTATTAAATTCTGTCAGATAGGCCTTTCAGGATCACTCTCCTGAAATTGTTTGTCCTATATATAAATGCTCCACTTCTTGTACACAAAATCAATTAATTTTTTTATCTTGTGGCAAACCGTATTTTCAGTATTTCAGTAAACTTATTTACACCCATTGAGGATTAATATTGGACAGTTAACCAAACCACGAATTACATGTCATTATTGCAATATGTTACAACAAATTAATGGAGGTAATTTACATAGATTGAAGTATGATTATTACATATAACACAGCATACAAATGACTAGCAAATTACAATTTTAACTGGATCGATTGTTACACCACACGGGTTGAATCTAGCTTCTGGAAATTTCATACAAATAGGATTTAGACTGAAAAGTATCAAAATAATGTTTGCTAATTGTATTAAAATTATCTCGGCAAGATGTTAATATTTTACTTAACAAATAAAATTTTTTTGCAGTGAAAACATTTTAAATCAAACTGACCTACGGTCAAAAACTTGGTTAATTTAGTGATCAGGGGAAAAATACATTGTTTCTTCAACCATAATACTGAGTTTTTGTCTGAACCTTATCGACAATGAACTAATCCTATTTTGTCGAAATTGGAATTTTGCTACCAATTCAGTAAACATTAATTCTACAACAATATCCACTCGTTATTTCAAATATACCAGGGCAAATTACTCTTGCATTATATTTACAAATATACACAATATACGACAGATATTTATTGATGTAATAATTATTTGTTTTATCTATTCAAACTTCACACAAAAGCTGACACTGTTTGAATGAAAATACATTTCAAAATTAATCAATTACCCAGGCCTTGTGAAAGTTATAAGAAGGGAAATGAAAAACATAGGGCTTCAATTCCAACCCTTTATCAAAATTAGGTTATGAATGAATAATTTTCAATTAGTTCAGCGGATTAGAAATTGAAAAAAGAAAAAAAAAAACTACATAACATAATACATTTTGGAATAAGGTGAATATGATTTGAAGGACAATTTATTTGTAATACGTCAGCTTTCGATCGATTTAACCAAAAAATAACACTTTTAAACTATTCTGTCTCAGCTCTAGGGAATTCCTGGAAAACTCTATTTTGTGATGGTGGAGAGATAAAAGGTACAACAAGCAGAATTCCGGCCTTTTGGCTGAAAATTTAAAACGCAGTTGCTGGGTTTATTTTTTCATTATTTAAAATTAAACTCTAAAAGCCTCCGCATTGCATAAAATAAAAATTTACCAAACAGTGTCGCTTTTGGGATACTACAATGGCAAAATAAACTCCATACTCTACGCTGTAAAAATTAAAATATGTTTACAACTCGAAAGGCGATAATTTGGAAAATTACCAAATGGGATTAGCGTTATGTTGAAGTTAAGGTAAAATCGCAGATTAGCCTACACGAGATGCGAACGATAACAATTACTTTATTTTTTGCATGTTTTTTTGAATTATGTTTCTGAGAAGAAAAATCCACCAGTGTGGCAAATTCCTTGAAATTCCAAATTGGCGATTTTCTTCTCTATTGCACCCAGAATAGAAATATTGAATATCAGATGAAATTTCTTCGCAATTGAACATTTCACATCCAAGATATTTGGATATGATAATGGAAACTTTTGAAAAGTTTAATTTACATGTTTGCAAAAAAATATGAGAGGTTAGTGGTTAGTTGTATTAGGTATATTTTTTCTGTGACGGGAAAAAAGTAGACTTCTCGTACCTGTTGACAGGGGCAAAAATGTAACTTTTTCTCCCATGGGAAAAAAGTGATTTTTTTTCCCACGGGAAAAAAGTAACAGGTACGAGTCAATTTTTTTTCCCGAGGGAAAAAAGTAACAGGTACCAGTCAAATTTTTTTCTCAAAGGGAATAATGTATAGATGGAAAATGTTGAGATTTTCCAGTCACAGAAAAAAAATAGTGTATTATACATGGGAAAAAAGTAAGATTTTAGCGCTCGCTGTATTGTCTACCTCCGCTTCGCGTCCGGAGGCAAACCACACCTCGCGCTAAAATCTAGTACTTTTTTCTTGTATAATAAATAACAATTTTTCTGTAACGGGAAAAAAATAGACTTTTTGTACCTGTTGTTATTCAGTTGCCACGTTTCTTGAAAATTTGAATTTTATTAGAGAGAATAGACATAGCACGAGCTTTGAGAGATATAAGTATATATCCCACTGAAAAGCATCATCTCATCATCTCAAATAAATATCTTTTTTTTTTGAATTTATTTTGCCACTTTAACACTTAACAATCTAGCAAATAAGAAGACAATAAACATGCTTACATCCTGGCCAGGCTGGCTTACCGACGGATGGTCTCCCCCCTTGACATTTTGCAGCGCTTTGTTCGCTGGTGCCGTGGGGGTACGCGCAGGATCCGAAGGTACTAGCGCCCCTGCGCTGCTTCCTGCCGGTGATTTTGCTTGTGGACTGCCACTGCCAGTCGTTCTGAAAAAAAAACATCTTGTTGAATATAAGGAATTCATGGTATCAAAAATTGAATTTCCACAGACGTTCAATAGTTTTTTAATTAGTTATATTGAAAATGCGGTTCGTAGTATTTTTTTTCCTCAAAACCTAATTTAAGGTGAATGTTTGGTGTTGAATAGGTATGCTACTGATGTAGCTCAGAATCCCACCTTCGATACCACTAGGGTGGCTCTACTAGTTATAAAATATAAAAAACCTAAACCTAAAATGTTAAAGATTTGGGTGTTTTGGCAAGAACAAGGGCCAAACAGGAAGTGCCATCATAGTGTTGCCCACCTTTTCTCTCTATACGCCTAGGATTTCTCTAAGCTTTAACGCTAGAGTCTCAAGCATTCGTTACCCGATGCTAATATAACACGAAGTTGTTTTTATTAGGTCTTTATAACCGCAGAATAATTCAAACTTTCCAAAATCACTGAAAATTATAATTTTGAAAAATCTTTTGATTGATTTATTTGATTATTGTGGGCATCTCCTGAAAACCTAGTTCTCTGGGTTGAAGTTTTTGCTTATATTGCACTGAAGAGAGCTAATAAACTCGAAATCGGTCTGCAATTACCGCCAGTACCCAAAGATTGAGAATTCGAGTTTCTCCATTATCTATAGTTAGATCAAAACCACACGCATTGTGTAAACTGGCTGGGACCAGGCCAGAACAATGCAAACTCATCGTGTGAGTTACTAGCAGTGTGTTTGGAGCATCGATTAGAAACTTGTGTTTTTCCGAAGTAGAACTTTGTTTAAACTCCACACCTGCCAAGAATGTTCTGATTTTGAAAAAAAAATAAAAAATTATTTACGACTAATGTATAATGTGCGTATTATATTTGTGATTTTGGCAGTATAATGACATATGTTATTCCTCCAGGGATTATTGACGAGTAGCGGGATTAATGGTCATTATTCCACAAAAGTGTCAGTGTCAAACGTGTAGTGCTTGTGGATTTGTATTGAAAATTATGAGACGGATGAAATTTGTTCATTGAAAATCTCAAATAAATTAATTTGTCGTAAATAAAGTAGAGTATACTACTCGCAATAATGGCTATTATCCCCTCGGAATGTTACTCCCTCGCCGCTAACGCGGCTCAGTTCGTAATAATCCTCGGGAATAATAGCTAGCATTATTGACTCGTGGTATAATCTACTATTAATTGAAACGAAGCAAATTACAGTATTTTTAAGCAATTATATTATAGTTATTTATGTATCAAGGGAATTATGCAGGTGTTAATACCCCAGGGCAACGTTTGTGTGGCCCGAGGGACACCAATTGCCCGTGGGTATTAACTCCGGATAATTCCCGTGGTACATAGATAATTTTATATCCTACTGAATTTACTGTATTCTGTCTATTTTTATAAAGGAATAAGCCATAAATCAAAATTTCAATTTTTTGTGAAAGTGTTACCTATTCAAGGTAAAAGCGGGAGTTATGGAAATCCTTAACTCCCTTGGGAGTTATGATATCCTTAACTCCCTTCCTTAACTCCCTTGGGAGTTATGAAAATCCTTAACTCCCTTGGGAGTTAAGACCCTGTTTATGATTATCGTAACCAAGGTATTATATGGTTTTAATAGTTCAGTAGGATATAAAATTATTATCCTTGTAGTTTCTTACCTTGTTTTCAAATAAAATACGGAGATGCATTATGAAGATGTACACTACCCCACCCCAACTTAACCTAAATTATTATAAATGTATGCATTTATTTATTTTATTTTATTTTATTTTATTATTATTATAATTATTTTTTTTCCTTCATGCTTTTGAGCGACGTATAACATGTTTATTTAGGAGACATAAATATAATGATCTAAACCAATGAAGTAGATAGGTTTGGAATGGGCTTTGCGTCATTCAATTGATTCCAGTATGAGATAGCGCTAGTAAGGGCAAAAAATCTATTGGATCTCCTATATCTCTCACTCTAACCCTGAGCGAGATAGCGCTAGTAGGGGCAGAAAAATCTCACGGATCTCTCCTGTTCTCTCACTCCAATGTTGGCCGCAAATATATGTATTGAGTAGATAGGCAAAGGGCTATTCCAACCTTCTTACTACTTCATTGTTTAAACTCCACTTCTTATCAAGGAGAAGAAAGTTCATGTTTTGAATGAAGTTGCTATGCCGGTATTTGTTAATTTAAGTTTCTGTTTCTAGCTTTTTAACTTTAAAGTTACTAATTAATGTCTATTTCTTATATTCAATTTTAATTTAATTTTAAAGATTACCTAATATTTTTAATTTTATTTTTAATTTAATTATTTATTTATTTTTTCAGTATTACATTTGTAAATTCCCAATTTAATTGTTATGTTTTATGTCTATCCAGCTCTGCACCGTTTTTCTTTTTATGTATTTGATCCAGTTTTTGAGTTTGTCCCAAAATTTTTGTATATACAGTGTTTTGCCTTCTAATCTCAAGTGGAACTTGATCAAAAAGTTCGGAAGCTAAGAAGTGGTAGCTTCTTTGCGCAACGGTTTCCAACACTTTTTGAATGAGGTATGTAACCTTGTTTCTCCGTGTGTTGTACCCGTGATTTATTTCTTCCAAATCTGTTTAATTTTTATATTTAACTAATAAGCTTAGTCAGAATAGTTTTCTAAAAGCGAGTCGTTCAATGCAATATTCTATTTCCCGGAGGCATGCGCACCGTCATTTTCAATCAGCTGATGCAATTTCAATTGCATTGCATGAAATTATAACGGACCCTGCCCAAAGTATACGGAAATTGTGTTTATGTCAGAATGGACTGAATTTTGTATGTAATGTAGATCACGCCTTTCTGATTGAAAGTTACCATTGCACCAATCCTGAAAAATTACTCCACGTAGCACACCACTGCGCCACAAGCTTACCTATTGGTGCTACATTGAACGTCCATTACAATGTCCACGCGTTTTACTTGTTACCTTTGAAATTAATTTTCTCAAAAAGGAGTCATTTTTCAGGATTGGTGCAATTGAAACTTTCAATCAGGAAGGCGTGATCTACATTATTCACAAAATTCAGCCAATTCTGACATAAACACAATGGCACCTTCCATGCCATTTCCCTAACTACCAACCAGAGAAAATAAATATTAAATTATTAAATAATCAAATATGTATCACCATAAACCATTTTATACAAAAATTAATATATTTCATCTTGGAAAATGGAAAATCCAAAATCGTTAACTCAATCTAAACAGAAAACAGCACAAAATACAAAATTTGAAACTATGAATCAAATCAGCTGCTATATGTCATTTTCTCTAAGTTGGCACAAGGGGAAAATGATGGCATGTATTTTATTGCATCTTATGTAAACAGTAAATTGCATGTGCAGCAGATTACATGCCATTTTTCAAAAATTGCATTGCATCCAACTGCATCTAGTGTAAACACAGTTTTAGATCAAAAATGATTGTTTCTTCATACAATTTTTCTGTGGGATATAAAAATGATTTACTATAAATATTTCTTTTTAAGCACTGTACTTTTTCCAAATTTCCTATACATGTCGATTTATTCCGTCCAGAAGCATTACCACATACAGGGTGAGTCCGAAAAAATAGGCGCATTTTTTTATGATATAGTAGGACAATCACTTTTTGTATAGGAACAAGTGTCCGCGAACGTCTCGTTAAGAAGATACAGAGTGTTGAAATTTTCGAAAAATTTTGACTTTTTGCCTTTAGATTCAAAATGCCTTGAGCAATTTTGTTCAAATTTTGTTTAACTTCATTGTTCTTTGGGTTCCGGTGTCATGTGAACAGAGTGGAGTATATCGAACAACGAGACTTTCCAAACAATACATTGAGTTTTCTTCTCCTGATAAAGGTTACTGTGGTCATTTTGTGAGGATTTATTTCCTCGTTTCGGAGCTACCCTTGGCTAATATTGCCAGATCCTCCGCATATGCTTGAACCTCGACCCATCATCTACCAAGAGAGATCACAGAGGAAGAAATATTACTTGTCCCTGCGTGAAGCCCTTCGGCAGACTTGAACCTGACCGTTATGCTCTGTAGAGAGGTTTTTATCATTCTACCGTTCAGCATGGTCCCGATTCAGTTACAAATTAGCGAGTCGATGCCTCTAGATTTTAATGTCTCATAGAGAGAGTTTGGCATCGCGTTGTTAAAAGCTCCCTCTATGTCCAGGAAAGCGGCGAGTGCAATGCTCTTACGTTCCAGAGAGCAGCCTATGCTATATACCAAGTTACTAAGAGCCAGCTCCATGGACTTTTCTATCTGATAGGCATATTGATGAGTACTAAGGGAATTCGTCTTAGGCGCCTTTTCCGTAATTCACTCATCCAGCACGTACTCTAAAGTTTTCTACATGAAATATGTCAGACCTATTGGTCCGAATGATTGGGATGTGGGTTCTTGGCGTCCAGCTTTGGGGATGTAGATCACCTTCGTCCAACTTGGTTGTATACCGTCCCCTACATGGCCGCCGCTGTAACGTCTTTCCTTCCAGGTGGCCGATCCTCGGGCCAGGGAGTAGAGCTCCCCGATAGAACGAATGTTTTTTCCTTGTCAACGTAATCGAAAAGTAAACGAGAATGATAAAGACAAAAATTTTGTTCTCTCGGGGAGTTCCACTCCCTGGCCCAAGGATTGGCCCGCAGGTCGTTTAATCCGATCGCTGAGGTGAGCGTCTTGGAAGCCATTTATCAGCAGACTTCCTTGGAAGTGGTCGTCTGCGACAATCTCTAAAGTTTTTTTTGCTGGATTGTGTGTGGGCTTTATCCGAGTGTTTTATCGATTCTAGTTCCTGTAAACTACACTTTGACAGAACTTTTTGGATCCGTGCGCTGCTAAACACATCTTTAATGTCTTCGCATAGCCTCCTCCAAGATTCTGTTTTTGCCTTTCTTATCTCTTTGTTGTTGCCTGCCGTTTTAGCCCGGTTAAGCTATATTCGAGTACCAGTACCAGGAAGTGTTTCTGTTGATTTTTTATA